CTGCCAGCAGTGCTGGCCGGAGGGGGGGGAGTGCCGGCCCTGCGACGGGGGGGTCCGCTACTCCCTGCCCCCCCAGGGCCTGACGGGGACGGGGGTGACTGTCACCGACCTGGAGCCGCACGTCAACTACACCTTCACGGTGGAGGCCCGGAACGGGGTGTCCCCGCTCAGCGCCCAGCGCAGCCTGGCCAGCGCCACCATCAGCGTCAACCAGACGGGTACGGGGCCACCAGCACCTCCCACGGCTTCTCTCCCCCGCTGGGGGTGCCTCTGTGACATCCCTGTCCCCCCCTTGGGACACCTCCATCACATCCCTGTTCCCCCCCTTGGGACATCTCCATCACATCCCTGTCCCCCACCTGGGGACACCTCCATCACATCCCTGTCCCCCACCTGGGGACACCTCCATCACATCCCTGTTCCCCCCCTTGGGGCATCTCCATCACATCCCTGTCCCCCCTCCTTGGGACATCTCCATCATATCCCTGTCCCCCACCTGGGGACACCTTTGTGATGTCCTTGTCCCCACGTGGCAGAGCCACCCCGGGTGACGTCGGTGAGCCTGGACGGACGCACAGCCCCCAGCCTGCTCCTCTCCTGGACGGTGCCGCTGCGGCAGCAGAGTCGGGTCTGGAAGTACGAGGTCACCTACAGCAAGAAGGTCCATCCCATCTCATGGCTTCAGCCCATCACCCCCATCCCTGTCACCTCCATCCTTGACCCCATCCACATCACCCCCCCGTTGTATTACCTTCACCTGTCACCCCTCCATCTGCATCACCTCTGTTCTTTCCTCCATCCCCGCCACCTCCATCCCCGTCACCTCCATGTCACCTCCCTCCATCCCATCCATCTCTATCACCTCCATCCTCGTCTTCCATCTTTGTCACCTCCATCTGTGTCCCCTCCATCTATTTCACCTCCACCCACAGCCCCATCCATGTCCCCTCCACCCATGTCACCCCCACCCATGTCACCTCTCCTGTGTCCCCAGGTGGACGAGAACAGCTACTCAGTGCTGCGCTGTGAGGACACCTCTGTCACCCTCCCCAAGTTGTCCCCTGCCACCACCTACGTGGTGCGTGTCCAGGCGCTCACCCCGGATGGCCACGGGGCCTTCAGCCCCCAGCACGAGTTCCAGACCCTGCCTGAAGGTGAGGACCAAGGCAGGGGCAGGATTTGGGGGTGGAGGGCTTAGGGGGGGTGCCTGGGTCACCCCAAACTCCCCTGAATTGTCCCCACAGACACCGAGTCCATGGCATCCACCGCGGTCATCGCTGGCTCCATCGCGGGTGTCATCTTTGTGGTCCTCATCTTGGTTGCTCTTCTCTACATCCTCAGGCGGTGAGAAGACCTAAAAAAAAACCCCAAAATCCCCTCCCCAAACCCAAATATGCCTTTTCCACCACCAAAGATGGGCAAGGGGGGATTTTTGGGGTCAAACCACTGGTTTTCCACAGGAAGAGAAGGTCACGGCCACGCCAGTGCACCGAGGACGTGTACTTCTCCAAGTCAGGTGAGCAACAGGATGGTGGGATCAACAGGGACAGGTGGGGGTTGCCATGGGTGCTGACCCACCCCTCCCACCTCCTTCCAGACCAGCTGAAGCCCCTCAAGACCTACGTTGACCCCCACACCTACGAAGACCCCAACCAAGCCATGCTCAAGTTCACCACCGAGATCCATCCATCCTCCATCACCCGCCAGAAGGTCATCGGTGCCAGTAGGTCTTCAGGTGGCTTTGTCACCCTAAAGACACCCCAACATTAGACCAAGGTGGGGGGGGAGGGGGTTAAATGTGTGTGTGACCCCCCCTTGTGGTTCTTCTCTGAGCAGGGGAATTTGGAGAGGTCTACAAGGGGACCCTGAAGCGTGGGAAGAAGGAGGTGCCGGTGGCCATCAAGACCCTGAAGGTGGGGTACACGGAGAAGCAGAGGATGGACTTTTTGGGTGAAGCCACCATCATGGGGCAGTTCTGCCACCACAACATCATCCGTCTGGAAGGGGTCGTCTCCAAGTGTGAGTGGCTGCTCCCCCCACCCCTCCTCCCTCCTTCAAAAAACACCCCAATTTCCCTGGAAAACAACCCCAAAAAAA